TTGATTTATTGACGTTTTTGTATAAGCGTATACGTGGCATTACAAAGTTCAATGCAAGCGTATGCGTGGCAGTTAATCTAAAATGAATATCTAACAAAGGGAATAGTAGCAGCGCAGTGAAAGCAAAATTCGAAAATGACAAGTTCGGTTTCAACAAAATCTGACTGAGAGCAAGAAAGTTTGACTACGTTTTACGGTGAAATACTATCTTGGATTTTAGAAAAGCTCTCAAAATCTTAAAATGAGGTTAAACGAAGAATGGCTTAACAACTGTAAATATTCCTCTAACAATGTGGCTTGACTTTAGCACCAAATCCAGAACTAAAAATGCCAGAGAGATAAGGTGCATAGAGGACAAGATGCGAATTAATACATCGAATGTGGTTTAGCGTTGTCTGTACTCTTATCGACAACGATATGGGTCATCACAGTGGTCAAAATGTTGTGGACTTACGAGGAACTTTCGCAGAATTTCACTCAAGTCTGTTGGACTTACTGTTTTGAGATCCACTGTAATTTTTCTTTTCTCACACCTATTCTCAAACTTTTTTACTTCCTCTCTTACTGTTTTCCGCTAGAGCTTTTTGCTCAATTTCATCCAGTTGCTCGTTGTTTAAGTTCGAGTTTTGACTTGAAGAAAGCTGAAAATTTTCGGACTTCTTCCGTTTTAAAATAAAATCTCCGAACGTCAAACGTTCACTACAGAACTATAAAGTGAGCAAGAGCAAACTCATCCACAAAAATTCGCGCCAGTTTTGGCATTGAAATGGTATCGTCAGGATCTTATTGGCCGAGCAAAGATGTTTGACATCGCTCTAGCCATCACACACAATCACATCACAATCAGGGCGGCAAATTCATTTTTCAGCCGGCGCATTTCCCGTTTAGCCCGCAGAAAGGCGCGTTTTACAGTGGGTAACTCAATTTGTCGGCATTTGGCCGCGCGTAGAGGTAATAATCCCTATCAACGAAGGGCGGGGGGTTTAGAAATTCTCTTAGTGGCTTCATGTTACTGAAACCGGAATGAGATTCCGTCTCATGGGCCACCTGGCTCGCATACATACTTTACCATTACCTACCTACCTACCACGAAGACATGCATGTATGTCTGTTCATCCTTATTCTTTTTTTATAGCTTTGAAAAAATCCAGCAACAAACAGCCTAGCGGGAAGAAGAAAAAGAACATTAAGAAGATGAAGAATAGCTCACGGGAAANCTGGAACAATGCTGGTATGTTAAAATCCACAATCAGAAACTGATCAAAATGTTTACATACAGGTAAAAAGTACAAAATAATGTTCAATACATATATCCGATGTTTTGTTACTTATCCACAGGCTGCACAAACTCAGTATCTGACTGCTGATTCATATGGGAAATTCCCTTTAGTCCTAAATAAACTAAAATAAAGCATAAAAATAAACTTCACTTACCTGAACATAGGGTGTTCTTTGTGTCTTCTATACATTTTGGGCGCAAATTGCGTCTATTTTTGACGGGTTTGTGGCTTGCGGTTTTACTTCTTTTGTTCAATTTGTTTTGTTTCTTTAATTCCTTGGTGGTAGTTCCTCCTCATAACTGATTCATTCATAGGTGACGCCGTCCTACAAATCGCTTCCGCATCAAAAAGCAACGTACAGAATCGCCACTGACTACAAGTATTCCTTCTTTTCGCTTAGCTAGTCCCGAAGGGCGTGATCGTAAATAAACATCGAGGAAAAAATGCCCGCGCGAATTTTTTTTCCTCGAGGTTTTCTTTCGCGTCACTCGCGACGGATCAAACGGAAGAGGAACAGCTCGTAGTTTAAATTGCCTTTTAACAAAGCACCACTGCCATAAGGCCAGAAAAATTTTACCATCGCATCAGCCGTCATCACGACAACCGTATTGCGCTGAGAATTTCAAATTATATTCGGTTTTCTGCGATCCTGCTATGCAGTCGGCTTTTTCGGCGAGTTTACAGTTACGCTCCAACGGCCATTTGGAATTACATTATGCCCCTTGTTTCGTCACTATGGATTGCATTTCAAAGGCTAAGCTAGGTTTGCTGGGAAGAGAACTAAACTGACACAAATTTTTGCCATAATCCGGCCACTCAGTTAAGTGGGCGTTTATTGTAAGATCATCTCAAGTTACAATAGAACTGGAAGTGAGTACCTTTTTCCAGCAAAGGTGAGGGCAAACACGCCTTACGTGACACTTCGTCTGTCATAATGTACCACCGGTAATGCTCCAAAAAAGGAGGGGTAAAGTGGATGGGAAGAAACTTGCCCTGCACCGAAGCTTCTAGGAAAGAGGTCTGCAACCCAATGCTCAAATGCTTAAATCTAAATCTATTCGAGTCCCGGGTGTGACTCTATCCGGGAAACTAATCACGGGGCAGGTAGCATAAAATTATTTATTCTTTTTTGACACGGTAAAAAAACATCAGGACCTATAAGAAATCTGCATAATACTTATTTACATTACTTATTTTGCATACTTGCAGTAGATTTGAATTACATTAATCAATTAAAACATACTAACGATAAATAAGAACTATATAAGGAAAGAGGTGATAATAAATTACAATATAAATTAAATTATATTATAATAATGTTATAAGAATTTCAATTATAAATAACAAACACTCCTACATTTATAGAGGATATTACATGGCCGCGTGGGCTTCTTTCTCTCTCTCTCTTATCTTTAGGCACCTTGACCATCAAACTTGATACTACTGGTGGTAATAAACTACGAGATCGCATGAAAAGACATGCAACAATAGGATTGGATTGTTTCCCTCTCTCTACACTAGAAGAACTACAACGCTTTTGCTGTTATTTAAGAGCCCAACTTAATGCAGAGATTAAAGAGAAAAATGCAGGCAGTTTAATACTGACAGTTCATTGCCGTACTCTGGAGATTCTCGAACGGCTGTGGGAAGATTATTGCTCAGGTCGCCTAGACACAGTAGCCGAGGAGTGTTTTCTTTCAGACGACGAGAGAACAAAGAAAAAAGAGGAGATGGGAGAAGAGAGTAAAGATGATGCGGATATCGTCGGTTTAAAAACAACTATCTCGGAGACGGAATACTTGAGGTGCAAAACGTTTTTAACAGAAATTTCTGGTAAGCTGAGTTCCCAGGGTGCAATTTCCCACTTACGTCCGGGATGAACCTCATCCTTGAGGAGTCAATAATGTAAACAAGATTAAAATGCCAAAATGAACAGACTTTCAATTGTCATCTAGATGTACATGTTCAGTTAATAAGTCAAATTATTCTTGCATTTTGATTGATTCTTACTTATGAACAATTGGAGAACAGACGTATAGGTGACGTCATTACCTTTTTTGTTTCTTTATTATATAAAAGAGATAGACTTCATGTTGCCATGCGTCTGTTTAGTAATCGATCATAGAAGACGTACGTCCAACTTCGGCCTAGGCCGGTCCATATAGCGAATAAACTGTGCCCTTGATCTCGAGTACAGTTTGTGCCTAGCAAATAACAAGTATGTACATGTACTTTGCTTTAAACAGGTCTCACAAGTTTAACAGACGAAGAAAATGTTGCCATGGAAAAGATAACGTACAAGAACATTCTTTTGAAGTTCTATGTGCTGCTCCTGGAAAAGCTTGATCCAAACGAAGTTTCCCATCAATTGCTGACGGCTGGTGTATTGACCTCTGATGATAAAGAGAAAATAGAAGAAAATCCCTCACAAAAAGAAAAGAGTGCAGAGCTGTTGATGATATTAGCCACGAAAGGACCGAGAGCATATGAGGAATTCGTGAAAACCTTGGAAAAGGATCAGTGTTCTTTGGCTTGTCAGCTCTTAAAGGAAGGTATGTAGTTTGCACGCTAACATGAAGTTGTCTCGGTGTCAAATTTTCAAGTATGTAATGTGGAGACATTGTGTATATATCAATACAAATATTATAATTTCTAAAATGTCCAAATATTTTGACTGTAGAAATTAAACAACTGTAAAATTACGTGTGCCCAGCTATCTCGATGTTTGTCATATGTTCTTATTAATCTCTCCGTGGCATGGCCAGAAATTCCGGACATCGAGTACAGACAAGGGTGATGAGGGTTCTGGCACAGCAGTGATCAAGGAGGAAGAGAACGGGCAAAATAAGCCTCCCACGCTTAACTTCCCTCACAAGTATCGGGAAGTTAAGTGTCGGAGGCTTATTTTGCCCGTTCTCTTCCTCCTCGATCACTGCTGTGTCCAGAACCCTCATCACCCTTGTGTGTGTCACGCAAACAGTACAGCAGTAAAACAAAAAATTGGCTGACATCGCGGGTCCAGCGAAGCTGTAATGTCTGTAATCAATATGCACGGATGTGCCCCTTCACTAGTATATACAAAAATGTGCCAGAAATATTTTCGTATTGAAGAAGCATATGCACTGTATATACGCCGAGATGGCTGCAGCGCAACTTTCCGTGGCCATTCAAAGCCTCCCTCCAGAGCTTCGCGAGATGATTCTCAAGGAGTACATCGCGATAAAAATCAAGGAAAAAAGGGAAATGGGGTGGGGCAAGGTCCACGAGAATATTTCAAAACTACCTTTCTGCGAATTCAAGCAGCAAATTGTGCGAATGGTAATTTGCTTTGAATATCCGGATTGCTATTTCGAGAATTGTTGTTTCCCCTGTTTCGAAAGGGAGGGAACTATTCATAAACCCTCGCTAAGGCTGCCGAAGGAGCCAAAACTTCTCATAGAAGCCGACCCCGATTACAAGAATTTTTTGGAAATATTCTCCTGGAACGGTTACGATTGGCACGAGTGGTTCCTTTTTGGCGCGGAGCGTTAGCGAAAAACTTCAGCATCCGCCTCAACCATCGCAACGACGACCTCGCGCGAAACATCGCGAGCCTCTTTTTGCCACTCAGGTGTGAAGTATTCATTCACAAGAAGCGCGACCAAGTGGAAGCAGACAATCATGTTTTTATAACATGCAAACAAAACCG